AAGGTCAATGGGTAGAGGTCAGACGAAGTCCAGTCTCCTGGTCCTCCAGGAGTCTGTACTGAAGTTTGCGTTACAGTCGGTAAAAGTGGCGGAGGAGTAAACGATCCAAGTAAATGGCCCCCACTTCGCTTCGCTGCCTTGCGGTTAGGTCCTTGTTAGAACTAACTGCTTTGATTAAGAACCCTAATCGTTCTGCTTAGTGGCTGGACACCCTAGNCACTCAAGTTTGCTTCTCTGTATTTCGCTGTACGATGATGAAGATGATGACTGGTTGTTCACTTAAGGAAGTTGGCCAAAAACCCCGATTCCAAACCAACCAAGAAGAGGCGTACGAACCACACTCACCTGTACCCTCCGCGGTGTGGCAGTGGTCACGGGCTCAATTAGACATCAAGGTGTATTGGACATCTTAGACGTTTGACCCCGTCCAAATGGTGAATAATCCGATAAACTGGACATCGGCCTCCAATGGATTGCGGTTTTCGCACACCGCCTCACTGCCTTGCGGGTCAGGCTTTAGCTAGCCAAAGGCTCCGGTTGTGAATTCCTTAAGAAAATTCACCTGTCTTGGCTTTGGTAACCTGGCAGTATGCAGCCCACATGCAGATCATGGAACGTTTTTCTTTTTCATAAATATTATTGTACGTTGATTTGTTTGGCACATAGTCTGAATTCGGACGTGTGTGAAAATAAATGGGTAGAAAACCGTCACATTAAGCATGTGAATTTTCTTGAGGAATTCACAACCGGAGCCTTCGGCTAAGCAAAGCAGCGGGGCGGTGTGCGAAAACTGCAATCCATTGTGGGCCGGTGTCCAGTTCATTGGATCATACGCCCTTTGGACCGGGTCAAACGTCCAAGGTGCCCAATTGAGCCGGTGACCATTGTCGCTACCAGGAAGGTGTGCATGTGGTTCGTACGCCTCTTCTTGGTCGGTTTGGAATCAGGGTATTTGACCAAATCCCCTAGGTGAACTACCCGTGGTCCACGAGCCCGGTGAACCATTGGCAGTTCACCTAAGGCAGTTGACTAAAAACCCTGATTCCGAACCAATCAAGAAGAGGCGTACAAACCACACGCACACCTTCCCGGTCGCGACAGTGATCACCGGCTCAATTGGGCATCGAGGTGTATTGGGCACCTTGGACGCTTGACCCCGTCCAAAGGGCGTATGGTCCAATGAACTGGACAGCAACCCTCAATGGACTACGGACTCTGAACTCAGTCCTGTTGTCTTGCCGGTCTGGCTTTCTAGACAGAGGCTTCGGGTGGTGACCTGAGGTTATCCCGCTTCCTCGGCCAGGGCAACCGGGAAGTAACATGCACGTGCAACCTATGAACACATTCTTCAGATTTCTTTTTGTTCATATGTTGTGGCACGTTTTGCCAGTTCTCTGTAATTGGTTACGTGTTAAAAGAAAAATCCGGTTATAGTCCCGAATACCGGCTACTCATCCTCTCACTTCGGTGAAAAAACACGGCCACGAGAAGGTATTGAGTAAGACTTCCTCAGCAGAGGCCTTTTGATACTTGGTTGTATGGGAGCATTTTGCGAGGTGCAAGGGAAGGGAGACCAGGCGTAATCCTAAATACTCACACCGATCATACTGAGGCTTTCGGAGGCTATATATATATATATATATATACCTTTGAAATAGTATCAGCAGACGTTCTCCTTTCTCACAAATAAAACACCGAAGCCATCACGAGATAGCTTAGGTTCTCAATCCAGTATTTTTTCTTTCTCCTTACGTACCGCTTTCTATCACAGGTGATCAGTTGTTTCGAAGACTACGGGTATTGATGAGTGGGCTACTACTCAGAA